GTGTGTGTGGAGTGGGCTCCTGGTGGAGGATGTGTATGTGTGTGTGGAGTGGGCTCCTGGTGGAGGGTGTGTGTGTGTGTGTGTGTGTGTGTGTGTCCGGATGGGGAGCAGCAAGCGAAAGGTGAGTGAGGAAGGCGCGCCTTTATACCCATTAACAGTCTACACCTAAGGCCCAGCATCTGACCTCGTAGATGCAGGTCAGTGTCTTTCCAGCAGTCTCTCTCCACAGGCTTGCTTGGTGGCTCATTCACTCAGCAAGCAGAACCAGCTATTGGGGATAGCACAGCAGACAAAAAAAGACAAAGGGCCCCTGCCTGAAAGAGTTTTTATTCTAGGGGGAAAAGATCATAAAATAAATAGAAAGCATAGTATTTTAGGTGGTGGTGTGTGCTGGGGAGAATAATAAAACAGGGAGAGCAGGAATGCAAAGGGGACAGGGCTCTGTTTTAAAAACGGGGCCTTCCTAGTGGTGCAAGGGGTTGTCTCAGCACTGTGAAGCTGCCGTCAGCACTGCAGCAGGAGTCTGCTCCCCGCTGGCCAGGGGCATGGCAGACCTCTCCCGTCTTGCCCGCTGCTCCCCTCAGCAGTGTATTTCAGTCAGCCCACCTGTTCTGCTCCCCACTCTGGCTCTGGTGAATCCTCTCACTCTCTGCACCTCTCTGGTCTACACCTCCTGCTCTTCTATGCATAAATAAATAAAATTTAAAAATATATAAAAACAAAGCCATCGAAGACCCCATGAGAAGACTAGATTACAGGGAAGAACGCCTAGTGGATAAGAGGGTGATCTGGGTGGCTATCTGGGGAGCAAAGGATTGAGGTGGAAAGAAGGAGGAGTGCAGAGAGTCGAGGTGGAGGTGTTCCTGGCGTGTCCGAGGCCGGCAAGGAGGCCAGCTGGCTGGGACAGGCGGCCCAGGGCAGCGTGGACAGCCAGGGCCGGAGTCCATCCCTGGGGCCCAGTGCAGACTATTTTGGACGTTGCTGGGCCTGAGTTTTTCACTCTGGCAGCTGTCGGCGGGTTTCGGACAGGAGTGCCATGACCTGACTTACATTTCAGCATGATCGCTCTCGCCACTGTGGGAGACTAGATGACAGGGAGGCAAGGCAGAGACAGAGCAGCTGGTCGAGAGGCCACGGCGGGGAATCCAGGTGACGTGTGGAAGCCTGGATTAGGAAGGGGGCAGCCAAAGCGATGAGTTAGGTGCTTGACATATTTTGAAGACAAAGACAAAAGTTTACTAATAGATTGATCATGGAATGTAGGACAGAGAGGCAAAGATTCCTTAATGGCACTAAGATTTTTGGGCCAAGTGAACAAAAGAATGAAATTGTCAGTTACTGAGACAGGCCATTGGGGGAGGATGTGTCATTGAGAGTGATTCATAGAAGTTCACTTTGGGTACTTTAAATTTGATGGGCCCATTAGAGGGACTCAAGCAGGCAGTTGGATGAAAAGATTTCTCTCTCAGGGCCCTCCCTGGGAGCACAGCAGGTTAAAGCGCAGCACAGTGAGGCTGTCTGCAGCCACTGCAGCACGAGTTCGATCCCCGGCCAGGGAGGTGACCCTCATGGCGCGGCAGACCTCTCCTGACCCATCTGCTGCTCCCTTCAGCAGTATATTCAGTGGATTCTGCCTGTTCTGCTCCCCACTCTGTCTTTGGAGAATATTCTCACTCTCCACACTTCTGGTCCCTACCCCAGTTCTTACTTGCATAAATAAATAAATCTTTAAAAAACTAAAAAAAGTTCTCTTGTGGGTCCTTAAAGGTAGAAAAGCTCAGTAGTGTGCGTGGTACAGAGCGGTTGTCCTGCTTGGCAGAGCTGTGTCTGATGTCAGAGGGATACTCCCAGGAGCAGTTCATTGCCATGTAACCTAACGGCAGCCCAGACTGAACGCAGGCTGGGGCCCAGGGTAAGGGCACGATGCCCTGGCCTAGCCTGAGCCCCACCCCTCTTTCCAGGACCCTCTTCAGCAGCGCACAGCCTGGGCTGTCAGCCGGCTGGCCACCAGGAGGTACCAGGCCGGCTGCAGGAGGCCTCGGGCTGAGTGGCCAGACTCAGGTAGCAGCTGCAGCTCAGCCCCGGCCTGTGCCATCTGCCTGGAGGAATTCTCTGACGGCCAGGTAAGGCTGGGCTCGGGGACCAACCAGGGACACGTGAAGGCTGGCACGAATGTTCTGGCTGCGATGAGCCATGTGTCCTGTTGGGGGCAGAGGCAGGGAACAACCCTGAGATTCAGTCACTTTTCTGGCCTTCCAGGAAAGGAGAACTACATTGTTGAGTGAGTGCCATGTGCGGTACTGTGCAGTGGCCTCATGATGGTGAGGCGTGAGGGTTGACTACTTTTTCATTCTTTTTTTTTTAATCATCATATTTTTTTGTTTTTTTTTTTCACATCGTGCTTCATTTTGTACATTTTTTCATCGCAGTTGTAATCCCGATGGGTTTCGTCTTCATTTTATAGCAGAAAACTGTTAAGAGATTTGCCCAAGGCCATGCAGCTAAATAGCAAATTCCAGATATACCTGATGCCAAAGCCCAGACCTTTTCTGTTCTACTTTGAGCTCTTTGCAAGTTGATAGTAGCAAGGAGAGGCCGGAGGGAGTCAGGGGGATATCCTGGTTTCTGGTCTTTCCTGGAGCTACAGATCACTCGGTTCATTTTCCTGCTTCTTCCAGGAGCTTCGGGTCATTTCCTGCCGCCATGAGTTCCATCGTGCCTGTGTGGACCCCTGGCTACACCAGCATCGGACTTGCCCTCTCTGCATGTTCAACATCGTAGGTAAGAGGTGGGCCCTGGTCTCCCCTGTGTGCAGCAAATGGGTCTAGAGTGAGGCTTCCTGCCAAGGGTTTGCTGCAAAGCTGAGGAGAAAGCAGAACTGTCTCCGTGCTCTTTTAACCATGTGCTGCTCAAGAGTAGCTCCTCAGAAGGCCATTCACATGACAGACATCTTTATTATTTTAAAAATTGTATTTTTCAAAATATTTATTTACGCATATAATAACTGAGGTACAGAACAGAGGTGTGGGGTGAGAGGATTCACCAGAGACAGGGTGGGGAGCAGAACAGGCAGATTGACTAAAATACTCTGCTGAGGGGGGCAGCAGGCAGGTCAAGAGAGGTCTGCCACGCCATGTGGGTCAGCTCCCCGGCCGGGGATGGAATTCGTGCTGCAGTGGCTGCTGACAGTTTTCACAGTGCTGAGACTTACTCCCTGTGCCACCAATGATTTGTATTTTTATGACAAGTCTGTTGATTCTAAATCTGGGTGATATGTATAGTTATTATTCTATTTCTCTGGCAATGAAGTGCTGTATCATATTAAAATAAAACCAGGATGGGCCCTCCCTGGTGGCGCAGCGGGTTAAAGCACAGCACTGAGAAGCTAAAGCCACTTCCGCATGAGTTCAATTCCTGCCTGCCCCAGAGGAGACCACATGGCGCGGCAGACCTCTCCTGACCCGCCCGCTGCTCCCCTCAGCAGTGTACTTCGTTGATCTGACTGTTCTGTTCCCCACTCTGTCTCTGGTGAAGCCTCTCACCGCCCCTGAGCCTCTGGCCTGTACCCCAGTTCTGTATGCACAAATAAATAAATCTTTAAAAAAAATAAAAAAATAAAAAATAAATAAAAGCAGGATGTTATGATCCTTGCCTGAAAGATGAAAGGGAAATATCCCAAGGAAAAAGAGCCTCTTTCTAATACATCCAAAGGTGTGCTAAGGGCTGAAAGCCCCCAGTGCTCACTGATGGGAAGCATAGCAGAATTCTTAGGGAGAGGCCCCCAGGGACAGACAGGTCAGGAAAGCCCTCTGCTCCAACTCCGGCTCAGCTTGACCTGTCACCTCATATCTGTGCAACCACACTTTTCAGAACCTTTCGTAGGTTTGTGGAATCAAACCCATGTGCTGTTGATTCTCTATTCCAGAGGGAGAGTCCTTCCCCCAGCCCCTGGGACCTTCTCGATCTTACCAAGAACCAGGCCGGAGACTTCACCTCATTCGCCAGCACCCCGGCCATGCCCACTACCACCTCCCGGCTACCTACCTGTTGGGCCCTCCCCGGAGTACTGTGACTCGGCCCTCACCACCCGGCCCCTTACCACCATCCCAGGAGCCAGGCGCAGGCCCTCGGCACCACCACCGCCTCCCCAGGACCGCACACCCTCGGCCCCTCAGGGAGCAGCAGCGCCTGGCGGTGGCCCAGTACCCCTGTGCACAGGACTGGGCTGTGAGCCGCCTCCGATGCCCCTCGGCACAGCACCCTACTGCTTGCCAAGTGCCGCCACACTGGGCCAGGCCTCACGACAGCAGTGGGTCTGCAGAAAGCTACTGCACAGAACGCAGTGGCTACCTGGCGGACGGGCCAGCCAGTGACTCCAGTTCAGGGCCTTGCCACGGCTCCTCCAGTGACTCCGTGGTCAACTGCACAGACATCAGCCTGCAGGGCACCCATGGCAGCAGCTCCACGTTCCGAAGCTCCCTGAGCAGTGACTTTGACCCTCTGGTGTACTGCAGCCCGGACGGGGAGCTTCAGAGGAAGGAGACTCAGCCGAGTGTGACCTCTAGGCCCCGTTCTTTGGACTCAGTGGTGCTCACTGCAGAAACCCAAGTTTCCAGCCATGTCCACTACCACCGCCATCGGCACCACCACTACAAGAAGCGCTTGCAGTGGCACGGCAGGAAGCCTGGTGCAGAGACTGCAGTCCCCCAGTCCAGGTCCTGTGTTCCTCGGACACAGCCCCAGCCAGAGCCACTTCCTTCTGCTCACCAGGCTGCCAGATCCACCCCAGCAGCCCCATCGGGACACCTCCCCAACCCACAGCGACCCAGAGCCCTCACTGAGCCAGTTCCCGGCCCAGCTGATGCCTCCAATCCTAGCCCAGGTCCCAGAACCCTCTTCCATTCGCATTCACACAAATCCAGCCTCCCTGTCCGACATCCACAGAGGAAACAGCGGGGGTGTCATTCAGATGCCACCCTAACCTCTCGTCCCCAGGACTTGACTGCACATTCAGCTTGCCAGATTTTCCCCCACTATGGCCCCAGGCTGGCATACCCTTGGTCTCCGGAGGCCCAGCCACTGATCTTGGGACATCCGGGCTTGGACAGGAGGCTGCTACCCGAAGCCCCAGACCCCTGTTACTCAAGTTCACATCCAGTGTGGTTGTGTCTGACTCCACGTCGGCCCCTAGAGCCACACCCTTCTGGGGAGGGGCCCTCCCAATGGAGTTCTGGCATTGCAGAGGGCAGGCCATGCCCTTACCCACATTGCCAGGTGCTGCCAGCCCAGCCTGGTGAGTTTCAGGGAAAGTGGGTGTGGTGGGGAGAGGAGACTAGAGCTGGATATTGTAGATGGGTGAAGTTAGTCAACAAGGGGTTGATGGAAGGGTATAGCCGGGGTGATTTTCAAAATACTGAACCACTGGCATAGTAAGGGATTCTGGCTAGAACACTCTGGCTCTGCCAGGTTATAATTACTAGATTATAGGGAGTTCTCAAGGGAGATACCAATGCAACGAGACATCAGTAAACGCTTGGGGTTGGGGGCTGCTGGGGCAGCCGCGCAGACAGAAGTGCTTCGGTGTTTACCAGTGCATACAGCTCAGTATCAGCTTTACTAGAGGAAGGCAAAGAAGGCCTCCTCCTCCTTGAGGAGTGCAGGGATAATTACTGATAATGGTACTGCTAGGCCTGTGAGGAGAACTACATGAATGACATGGTGGGGGGCGGGGAGAGATTTGGGTAGTCCCCAGCAGCCCTGTGGGTTGTAGGTTTACTTCTGGGGTAAAAGAACAACTAGGGCCAACTAGGGCTTCCCTTCAAAGCACTCTTGTTAATAAGACCAGCCTCACTTGGGGGGGGGGGGGGGGGGGGGGAGAGTGGAGCTTAGTGCATCTGTTATTATCAGTGTTGAAAATGTAAACCCTCAACTTTAGCTTGGTATGTATTTGTTCAAAATTTCCTCTTCCTCTTCAAAAGCCTTCTACTCTTTCCTCTTCTCCTATTGTGTGGATGACATAGCTCTTTGCTCAGAGCTGTTGCTACAAGGACCCCTCTAACCCAAAAGGGGAACCAAAGATCTGAAAATAAAAGTCTGAAGTTCTAGGGCTCCTACTGGCAAGATTTGAGAGCTGCTATCATTCTTCATTCCTTTCTTCCTTCCTTTTTTCTTTCTGCACTGTGCTGCTGTGTGCTAGGTTCCTGGCTAGGCTCTGAGGGCATGGGCATTATCAGCCAGGCATTCAGGCCCACATTTGTACCCTGTCATGGGTGCAGTTTCAGTGCTGCCAGAATCTCCAAACCCAGAACTGGATTCGGTGCCTCCCTTTGCCCTGCTCCTTATACCCAAACGCCAGCTTCTATGGACTGTATCCCTGCGCGTCTTAGGAGCAGCCTAGAGGCTGATCAGGGCCTCCTCGCTACCCCGCCCCTGGCTGGCTGCCACATGCCCAGTGTTGAGTCCTTTACAGCCATGCAGCAAGTTACACTGTTCATCTCCCTCTATGCCACATATCTTCCTCAAAAAGACAGTCCAGAAACGCTCAACGCTCTGCCTGTTCACAATAAAGAGAACCCCAACCTGACTTGGCCTTTAAGACATTAGCACCATCCTGCTCCCATCTTCCTTCCCAGCCTTATTTTTCACCCTTCTTCCCTTCTCATGTCCCATGCTTGAGCCAAACCGAGTAAACACTTCTTACTGTTCTGCAGACCAGAATATGCCGCTGCCTTCCTGTCCCATAAACCTGATTCTTGCCAATTCTTGCACGACCAGCTCCTCTTTCAGGAAACCCTTCCTAAATTGCTCTAGTTTGACATCATCTCTTCCCTTCCTCTGTCCGCTTCTTACGGCCCCAGTCCTGCCCACTGGCACAGGTGCCTTTGCCTGCAGCCTCTCCCGTCGGATCCCTGCCTGCTCTTTGCTCTTCTGCTTGGCGCATGGAAGCAGTTGAGATTCACAAGTGCTTAATAAATATTTATTGAGTGAGCGAATGAATGAATAGTAAGTCTTGGTAATACACTGCTTGGGATATGTTTCTCTTTCTCTACATTTGTTTATTTTCTCTGCAATGTCCCAACTAGGGGCCCTCTCTGCTTTCAGACTGCCACCCTTTCTAGATATATTTCCTGTTCCTCCCTCTCTTTGGCTCCCTCCCAGTCACACTCTCCTGCTGCTGGAGAAGCAAGAGGCTGACTTGACCTGCAGTCATCTCTTTTCCCCTTCTCTCTAAATGCAGGCTCAGAGGAGGAGCTTGAAGAGCTGTGTGAACAGGCCGTGTAAGACGTTCAGCCCTAGTTCCAACCAACAGTGTGTTCCAGATGATTCGGGGTCCCACCTGGTACAGAGCCGTGCTCCTGAGAGAAGAAAAGACCTCAGAAAACACCCCTCCTTTTGCTGTACTTCCTGGAGCCACAGGAAGAAGAGAGGTGCGGGTGGGCGGCAGGCAGGGTTTCCTGTCCCCTGCTCCAAGTCCTGTCTGCAGAGCACATCTGCATGGCGAGGCCGCCCTGTGCAGGCTGGCTCCCTGCAAGGCTGCTCGTGAGAGCAGGAAGCTAGGTGTGGGTGGTAACAGGTGTCATGAAGGTCCTGCTCCTTCACCCAGCTCCAGCAGGTCTCCTTCACCCCAGGTCTCAGGTTCATAGCAGCCAGTGTGGTCCAGTGGGATGTAAGTCCCTGCCTTGCCTCCTTCCTTGGGTGAGGCCTGCGTGCCAGCTTTAGTTCTTCCCCGGTAAGGCTGCTGCATCAGCAGCAACCCCGGCTCTTATCATTTTTCCTTCTGTGCACAAGGATGGGGTGCACAGGGGAGCTGTGAGCCCTAAAAATGGGAGCCCTGAAGCTTCTCTAGGCAGTGCCTACCCTGGTGCATAAAAGGGGGGCGGGTTGGTTTCCCTTCTTGTCCTTAATTCTCAGATCCACCCTATGAAGTCAGAGGCGTGGCTTCCAGGCCCGGTGTGATGTTTTGTCCCTAAGAAGGTGTAGCACCTTGCAGAACCTGGGATGAAGTCTCTCATCTTCAGATTCCCACATTGAGCCAGGAGCCCAGTTCCTTTGGGGATGGTGGGAAGGGAGAAATTCTTCCTTGTAGATCTCCTGTGTCAGAGAGTTCCAAATAAGTAGAAAGGAAAGGATTTCTGCTGGACTTCATCTAGGAAAAAGTCATGGAGTGAAGGTAGAAAGGCAGAAGTACAGTTGAACAAAGACGAGGAATTCGTGAGTTTTCTCTCAGGGCAGGGATGGGAACAAGGGAAAACAAAAGAAATATGTAACTCTTGGGTTTAGTTGGTCTCACCCGGCTGCCCAGGCCAAGCCACACAAGCCAGACTGCGTGGGAAGACGTTCATCTGCAAGTGGGGGGTGGGGGGGGCAGGAAGTTTGGCCCGGCAGCCGGTGTGGGCCAGACAGGGGCCGGGGATCTCCTTAGGGTGGCGTTCACACAGGGCAGCTTGACCACTGCTGGCCTCTCAGGCGTTATCCCATTGGGAATGTGAATGTGGGGGCACAGTGGGCACAGGACCCCACCTGGGAATTTTCTTTCCTCCAAGTTAGTGGGGAACTAGCACCTAGGCACCCACATGGGTATTTATATCTGAACCAGACAGAAAGACGCTTGAATCAGGCACTATGTTAAGAAATGTATTTATTTACTAATATATTTATCCATAAATGTGGTCTGGTCTTGTGGTTTTGTTTTGTCGTGATTATCACTCAGGGTAACAACTTAATCTGCTTTATTGACAGAAATAGACTCTGATTTTTAGATAAATCCTGCCTTGCTTTAAAAAAAAATTATTTATGCACACAAGAGCAGGGGGATAGCTCTTGTGTGGGGGTGAGAGGATTCACCAAAGACAGAGTGAGAGTAGAACAGGTTGATCTACTGAAGTGCACTGCTGAGGGAGCAGCGGGCGAGGCAGGAGAGGTCTGCTTTGCCTCCCTGGCAGGGGACTGAACTTGTGCTGCAGTGGTTGCTGATAGCTTCATAGTGCTGTGCTCTAACCCCTTACACTACTGGGGAGGACTCCTGTGCCTCACTTTTTCTAACCAGTAACATGGGCTTACCTAATGGAACTGTTGTAGACCTCAGGTAAGGTAACACAAAGTGAAAGTGTTACAGGGAAGGGAGAGAGGGGCACCTAGAATCCCCAAATCTGCCTGCTCTTAACAGGGTCTGCCATTCATCTCATCAAGACAAGACATACAACACCTTTAATGGAAAGGAGCTTTAATACAGTGAGTATACAATACAGAAGACAAAGAATATAGTTTCTAAATCAAACCCCTGAAGTTACCCGTCCCCTCGTGGACCAAAGTCCACCCAATAGAGATTGGCCTGCCTTGAGACTAAAGCACCTTCTGGCCAGGACCCATAGAAAAGGGTCAGGAAAGGCCAGACAAGTCAGGGAGGAAAAGAGCACAATCAAAATCAAGATAAACACTGCCATGGTCAACCTCCCCACGGGTCTCTCACCCACATCTCTTTCAAGCAGTCCAGGGCCAAGAAATAAACATGGGTTCTTCACATGTCTCCCTTTGTTCCATGTGCCTCCTTCAGGTCTCCTTCTGGCTCTCCATCCTGCTTCCTTCCTCATTCCTTCTTTTTCTCTTCTCAGCTCCATCTTACCTCTGGGTGGGGCAGGGAACCTGGAACTTCCCCTTTGCCTAGGGACCACCCAGTTGGAGAAAGTGTTGAGTGGTAGAGAACATCCTAATCCCAGCCACAGACACCATCTGAATACCCGCTGTGTACTTTCAAATCTAAGCCCACCTTGCAGAAATTCAGTTGGGAGGCTGTAATGGCAGAGCCTGCAACTATTTATAGCCCAGAGCCCTAGTTCAGATGAAAACAGATGGCTGTGCTCCGTCCTGGTGGTATAGAGTGGCCTCAGGGACTGGGGGGGGGGGGGGGAGGTTTGCTTTCCTCTTCATAAACACGTTTCCGCCTTCTGCTTCTCTGGGAAAGTGGTATTTTTCTGGTGCCTAGTTTTGAACCAGAGGGGAAGGCATTTAGTGATAGGGTATAATGAAATAAAAGGAAAAAACAAAACTCATAAATTTAGACATCTAATGAGCTTTAACTAAATGACATCTAAATGACATCTAATGAGCTTTAACTAAATGATTCATGAATCAGGTAGCATCTCATCTAGATACAGCAAGGGATTACACAGACTGGAGGGTGCTTATAGACAGGAAGAGGGTGGAATGAGGTTATTGGCAAAAGAAAAGATTATTTCAGGTAAAACCACTTTCCCTGTGTGTGTGGGGGGGGGCGTCTTATCATGGGAACTCCATGTTGATTGGATTAGGATCACACCTTTCTGGGAGAGGTTGAAACTGCAGTAAGATCAGGGATTAAATCTGGGTGGGGATGCTGACTTTAGGACTCCTGTGGGGGCTTGTTTTTTTCTATCTTTAACAATTTCTCTTGATCATACTTTCAGCCTTGCTGAGAATTTGATCAAAATTTGAAGTATCAGAGTTACTGCCAGCTTGAGCTTCTCAGTTTCCCTAATCTCCTCTGTGGTGTTCATGGTGTTACCTCTGTGGGTCGTCTCACCCACACACTTTTTTAAGATTCAGTTGTACCTGGGACACACACAAAAAGGTTCTATAATGGGTTTATTTACAAGGGGAAAGGAAAAGGAACGATCCAGGGGAAAGAGAGAGAGATCAAAGCTAACTAGAGCATCCTACTGTTACAGGGCAGGGAGAGAGGGACACCTTGAACCCCCAGACCTGCCTGCTCTAAATAGGGTCTGCCATTTGTCTCATTAAGACAAGACATACAACACCTTTAATGGAAAGGAACTTTAATACAGTGAGTATACAATACAGAAGACAAAGAATATAGTGGGTAAAGTCAACCTAAAAGGGATTGGTCCAAAGCAAGACCTGAAAGCTGCCACAAGACTAAATAAAGAACCTTCTGGCCGGGACCCATAGAAAAGGGTCAGGAAAGGCCAGACAAGTCTGGGAGGAAAAGAGCACAATCAAAATCAAGATAAACACTGCCATGGTCAACCTCCCTACGGGTCTCTCACCCACATCTCTTTCAAGCAGTCCAGGGCCAAGCAATCAACAAGGTTTCTTCACATGTCTCCCTTTGCTCCATGGGGCTTCCTCAGGTCTCTTTCAGGCTCTCCCTCCTGTTTCCTCCCTCCTCAGATTCCTTCTTTTCTCTGCTCAGCTCCACCCTCCTCCTGGGTAGGGCAGGGAACCTGGAACTTCCCCTTTTACTGGGGACCACCCTGTAACACTACCAGTTCCCCTGACTTGGAAGCCCACAGGATTGATCAGGAGCCAAACGACCAGCCACCGACAATGAGGCCAAGAGAGAGAGAGTGAGACCAGCTTGGAAACCACCAGCCAAAAGACCCCTGGAGTCCACATGTCCAGTTTTATCCTAACCTGGCAGCTTAGCTCTACCTTAAGACCCCAGCTTGTTTCTCAATGGTGTTGATGGGATTTGTAGTTCCAGTATCCGGGGGTGGAGGTCAAGTCCATAAAACCTGTTATAATTGGTCACTTAGATCATGACTTTAAGTTCACATTCTTTACCCCTTCCTTGAGGTTCCACTCTCAGGGTGATCTTTTGCTTGGTGGTTACCGAACTTTTTGAGAGAAGTTAACATGCCAGGGAGACTATTAAAACTATAAAGAGGATAATTCCCAATGCTTGGAATATATGTCAGAGCCAGGGTCCCCAGGACCCAAACTGTTACAGGGCAACCCTTATATGAAATGGGTTGCCTGATTGTGGGTCCTCACCCTTGTGCTTAAAGTGACTTATAGTAAGTCTTAACTGCAGGCACACACAAAAAGGAGGGGAAATGAATACTTTAGGGAGAGATAGACGGAGATAAATTGGTAAGACATCCTACCAGTTCCACTGACCTGGAATCCCAAAGGCATGCTGAGAGCCTGACTCTGAAAAACTTAAGCGTCAAGCCAAGAGGCCAAGTCCTCAAGTGCCAAAAGCCAAGGCCCAAATGTGTGATTTTGTACCAAACCTGGCTCCTACCTCCACGCTCGGTTCCCAGGAATCCTTTCTTAGTTCCCGGTGTCTTGATGACTTTGTTCTGGAGTGGGGCTGGAGTCCAAAAACCTGTGTGGACTTTGTTCAGGGCATCCTTTTCCCCTAACAAAACTAGCCTAGGAGACTCCTCCAAAGGACTCACCTTTTAAAGCCAAATGGCTTATTTCGTGATTTTATGTAACCGATTTCCAACTTCTCCAGAAATGTTCATCCATGTAAGCACATGGTAGAATTTATAAACCAGACACCTCCTTGCTTAACTAAAAAAAACAATCAAGGTCTATGATCACTTTGACCAGAGTCTAAAGATTTGGGCTGGGTAGCAGATCTGCAATATTTTCGAGATTTTTGGGAGCAGTTACTGCCATAAGGCTTGTCTAAGGGTCCATGCCTACACAAG